GTGTGGTTTCGATAAGAAATGGTATATATATATATGTACAGCATAGAATACAGGACATGTGTATATTTCGAACATTTGTTATAAGTAACATTCCATTCGATCTCTTTTCAAGATCACAAATATTTTTTTTAAACTTTGAAACCATACTTTGGAAAAAATTTGCTCATGTCGTCTAGGCATATCATTTTATTTCTCGTTATTCTTTCAATAGCATCGGTAAGAAATTCTTTCATATTAAATAAGTTGTATTTAAAATAACGCTAATTCAGATATTACGCATAGTTGCATGATAAAATTTTAGTAAGATAGAAGGAAAATACTCTAGACTCATAATATGACTCATATGACTTTTCGTTCTTGACCTTTAAGCAATCCAGTATGCTAATTCGACAACTTTAAATAGCTCCCATTTGAAACCTGTTATTCGAGGATTTTAGTAAACGAAAGTTGCTTTATTTAACACCGAGAATCTCCCGGTTCACTCCCTATGTAATTATTTTGAAACACTCTATAGATAGGTAACTAAAAAAATTAATTTTGCGGCCATAAAGGGGATAAAAAAGTATGCGGCAATTATAGAGGTATCACCCTGTTCAACGTAGCCCATAAAGTATTTCCGGGAATATTATATGCCAGGCTTGTAGTTTATGCGGAAGAGATCCTGGGCAAATGCCAGTGTGGCTTCAGAAACAATAGATCGATAATAAATCACCTAACAACTCTTAGGTTGATTCATGACAAATACTTTGTGCACAACATACAACTACATAACTTATATGTAGACTTGAAACAGGCTTTTGATAGAGTGGATAGAGCCCAGATGCTGAAACACCTAACTCTTCTAGGTACACCACACAAACTTGTAAGGCTAATAAGAATCACTCAGGACGATTTTAAGACAAGGATGAGACAAAATGAACTGTCGGACGCCTTTGAAGTGGAATTCAGAATCAAACAAGGAGATGCCCTCTCCACGGTTCTTTTCAATCTCACCTTGGAGGCAATTATAAGAAAAACACAGCTTGAAGGCTTTACAAACATAAATCGATACAAGTTTGCGCTTATGCGGATGATATTGCTATTCTCAACCGAAATGTAAAGCAACTGAAAAATATTTTATCGGAAATAAAAACAAACAGCGCTAAATTTGGACTGCATACAAATTAAGAGAAGACCAATTATATGGAGTGTGTAAGAACGGAAAGCAAACAGGAATACATACAGATGGATTTGAAAAAAACAATTTCCGTACCTTCAATAGTGATCAATAGTGTAGATCAATAGTGAACACAAATGAATACAAATGAATGGCGAACACAAATAATGACACAAATAAAGAAATAAAAGCTGGAATCCAAGCAGGCAATAGATGCTACCATGGATTTAAGAATCTAATAAAAAGCAAGATATTTAATAAAGCTACCAAGCTAAAAATATATAAAACAGTCACACGACCGGTAGTGACGTATGGAGCAGAGACCTGGACAATGAGCAA